TATATATATATATATATATATATATATATAATTATATATATATATATATATATAATTATATATATATATATATATAAATAATATATATATATATATAAAAATAATTATATATATATATATATATAATATATATATATATATAAATAATTATATATATATATATAAATAATTATATATATATATATATATATATATATATATATATATATATATATATATATATATAAATATTATATATATATATATATATATATATATATATATATATATTGTCGTCGTCGGCATCGGTCTGTCTCGAGAGACGATGGTGTAGCGCGATGCGCTAGGAGCCTGGGCGGGATATATGAGAACTAGACGTCTAGTTCCCCTCTCGGCCTTGCTAGCAGAGTCCAAAGGAGAGGATAAATCAATACAGTTTGGTACCAGCGCGGCTGCAGGAGTTGCCGAAGGTAGCTCTCCGGGTTTGAATTCAGAGCTGTCCTTCTCCGAGACCAGTTGAATATTTATGTTTATATATATATATATATATATATATATATATATATATATATATATATATATATATATATATGTTTGAATATACAGGGTGAGGCAGAGCAACTTGCTTATTTAAATTTGCCGCCCTAAAGCGATGGTTGCTCCAAGGATGGTAGGGATGGACTTATTTGAGAGGGTGGGGCTTAAAGTTTGGTTCATAACGTGCGTTATTTATTTTTTGTTTATTTTTCAGGAACCCCAGTGAGCATCATGGAGTGGACGAAGTTGGAACGCGCTTTCGCTGTTGAGGCATTTTTTTCAAGCGGTCGCTCAATCGTCACAACGCAACATGCATTCCGTAGACATTTCAATATTGCCCCCTTGTGGTCGTGTTCCTGGTCGGCAGTCTATTGTTTCATGGGTAAACAACTTCAGGGAAACTAGTGATGTAAAGAAAAAGAAACCTGGCCTCCCACGAACAGCAAGGTCACCCCAAAACATTGACTCAGTGTATAGAGAAGAATGGACCCCATCTTACTGATATCATCTTTAAAACTGGTAAAAAATAAGATTTAAATGTTGAACTAGTTGCAGTTCAAAGAATTACATGTATACCTGCATTACTTGTGTTTTAATTGATATTCCAAATAAACAAGTTGCTCTGTCCCACCCTGTATATATTCATGTTTTATATATATATATATATATATATATATATATATATATATATATATATTTATTTTTAAAAAATATGATTCCAAATCGCTACATAAGAGGTCTCATGTTTCAAAACAAGAGCCGAAAACTTCAATATAATCCTTTAAATTAAATTGAGTTGAAAGTAAAATGGGCTCCGTTCCATCTTCAAGCGAAATTTTGTTGGAATAACGTATATCTGAAATTTACTTGTTTTAAAATTGAAATCAAAATCCCCATGGTAACAGCTAGGGTGAATTGTCTAAATTGGATAGGCGAGTGTAGGGTGTTTATAATAAGTAGCGGTATAGAGATACTTTCAAGGTGTCAAGTCGGGGAAAGGTGGGGTGTCAAAAATGAAACGGAAGATGTATTGGCCATCGTCTAGTTTGCTTGTCTATGGAGATTTATTTATTTATTTTATTTTATTTATTATGAAAGGGAATTGTGCATATAAAAAAGAAAACTTTCGTAACGTTTGTTTTTTGACGACTTCATAAAGGGTTATCTTATATGTAAGGTATTTAAACTACTAATTTAGGCTATGGATTATGAAGTGTGTTATGTTGTATGCATGTTTGTAGTTAATTATTCCTACTATGAATCTGATGATTGGGCTATTTGTTAAACAAGTTATATAAAAAATTTTATCTAATAATTCAAACCAAAAATCTGATGATGCCTACAAAAAACCGTTAACTCGTGTCTATTATTTAATAGATTATTATTATTTAGAAGTTTAATAATGTGCAATTTTTCATGGAGGCACAAGGGCATGGGTCATCCCAAGCTTTACATATTCTAGCCTTGTCAATATATATATATTCAAACATAAATATTCAAAAGAAATTTATGAATGTTTATAACATTTCTTTCTCTCACGTGTCCATGTATGACGTCATAGAGCCTCATTAAGAATTTAAGACCTGCTATTCCGCTATCGGAATCGTCACATAGCAAAACTTCTATGTAAACATGACAGGATGTCATCTTTTATGGTGAACATATCTGGTGTAATGTCCATATTCTGATGATGGATCATGTGAGCCGAAAGCTTAGATCGAGGAAGAGCATTACAAAAATATTGAACAGTTTTTATCTTTTTTCTTCCGAAATTAAAGACACTATACCAAGCTTAGAACGATATGTCTGCTCCAATACAATATATATATATATATATATATATATATATATATATATATATATATATATATATATCCTTTCCGTATTGAATTCATTTCTTTACTTTTAAAGTTCTCAACCTTATTCGTCAAAATGTAGTGCCTGCCCTTTTGTTTGTCTACAGACATAAACTCATCCGAAAGTTTGAAAATAAATGAATAATGATTCATCACTGAATATGACATTTTTCCATTCAGCCATTGAACGCTTTTGATACTCTAGACAACATCTTTTCCGCTTATCAATGTTGAACAGGGTTGAAGAGGTTGAACCATTACGGCCCTCCCCATCGTATCCAGCTTTATGGAGCTTATGACAGACGAACGGTCTGAGTTGACAGGGTGTTGGCAAGCTAAGGGTTTCGCTCTACTCTCAGGTGGCCGCTGGAGTTCGACGGTTTTGTATGTTTCACTATTCTGCAATCCTTTCTTCCTGTGAACTTTTGCCTTCCGTCTAGAATTATTCTTGCCAGAGAAGGTCTATGTCTTGGTTTTGGAATGTTACATGATTTTTCAGACTGTATCCTTCGTGATATTAAGCAGGCATCATTTTTTTCTTTCTTAAACATCCACCATCTGCGCTTCAATTTTTTGTCCTCTTTGAAAATATGAATTTAAATATAAATATCTGAAAAGAAGAGAAATGTTAAACAGAAAGATGTATCATGAAGTAAAACTCATATATATATATATATATATATATATATATATATATATATATATATAAGCGCATACACACAAATAAACACTAATAATCGTCTAAAGATCGCTTGAACTCAGGTTACAACGTGGGCCATCCTTTCATAGGATTTAATGTTGTTAAGCGTTTTTTGCTAGGTCTACGCAATGTAGGCTTCGAGCAATTTAATTTACTGTGTAGATGGGTTTACCTTCAGGCCTTTTATCTCTTTCTTTTTTCAGTGCTGTCGTTTGTAATGGAGACTGTATTTGGATAAAGGTTTTAAGTTTTGGCAAGTTGCCTGTTGGTTCTATCAACGGTTTTGTATTTCTTTAATATATATATATATATATATATATATATATATATATATATATATATATATATATAAAGTGAACATTGAAGTCATACTCAGGGCGACAGGCCTGACGATTGAGTCTAGCATGAAAACAGCCTGTCGCCTCTGAGTGTTGACTTCAATGTTCACTTTTATATTTATATTACATGATCTATCTCTGATATTTAGCACTTTATCCATAAATATCGCATGCCTTAAAACTATATTTCTTCATATATATATATATATATATATATATATATATATAGCGTCCAAAACTAAGGGACAAAATTTTAAAACCTAATATTTGTTAGAAATAACAACTGTGAAAAGCTGAAATTTTGACAACTGGTAGTCATTATCATCCATAATAACATACTAAAATTTGAATCATTTGCAAAGGATAGAAAAAGAATTATAACAATTATTTATTTATTTTCAAATTTGGAACGGGGTAGCTGTTTGTAATTTTTTTTTTTTTTTGTCTTTTAATTTACATTCGCATCGAAGTATGGGCATTTTGAAATGTTGCCAATTTCAAATATTGGTTACGCTGTTGAGCGAGAAAGCAAGGAAACTTCTTGTAACACCAAAGATTAACTGAAGGCAAGGATTATGGCAGCATTCACTAACTTAAACAAGGAGATTGTCCAGAAGAGTTGCAAGAGATTCCAAAGTTGAATGGAGGCCGTGGTTGAAGTCAATGGCGATATTATTAAATAAATATACTCTTTAATGTCTGACAACTGGAAAAGCGACGGTGAAGACGGCTTATATATCCGGACGTGACTAAGACCAAGGTACAGTTCTTTTGGATTCTCATCCAAATTTACACTCACACACACACACACACACACACACATATATATATATATATATATATAGGCAGAAAGATTCCAGCGTGAGAGCCAACAGATGACTGACACGAATGTTAACTAGCATGCAAAAAAAAAATCGATAGCTGCATTCGTCACAAGTGGGAAAAATTTAAATCTGCATGGCACTTTACTTCAATTGGCTCATTCGCTTGCTTAAACTCAACGTTGATTCTGATTCTGCAGAACTGGGTTTGGTGTGAAAAAGTATTTGTTGTTAACATTCTTTTTTCATTCGGTTTTTCCAGTTACGAGTCCTTTTTTAAAGCTGATCGTTTTGTGTTCATTTTGTTTAGTTATTTTTTCGTAACAGATTTAATGTTTAGTACAGAGCTTAGAAAAAATTCGCAGTGTGAGATAGGCAAGAAGTAAGGCATGTAGCAACATCAGCACGGCAGGGCACTCCTTTAAATGCAAGGAAGGGCAAAAATATTTTAAGTCAAGTGATAGCGATTGCTGTATGAGTCGTACGATTTTTGAATCAAGCACGGACAATGTCGGGCCATGCCGCTATATATATATATATTTCTAAAGAATTAATGGGTTTATTTTTAATCCAGTATTTTTATGATTTCAAACGTTATTTTAGTGGAGACCCGTATTTAAAATAGACGCCCCGTTTTAAACAGTGTGTACTGCTACGCACTCGAAAAACTTCATAAAGAAAACGTGCTGTCTCCGCCACAATTTCAACTTGCACCCCCTTTTTTAGGACAAAGCACGTTTAATCCGGCGTGCTTATCTATCTATCTCAGTATATTTATTTATATCTATCTATCTATCTATTTATCTACCTCAGTATATTTATATCTATCTATCTATCTATCTATCTATCTATCTCAGTCCGTTCATATCTATCTATGTCAGTTTCATCATTATCTATCTATCTATCTCAGTATATTTATATTTATCTATCAATCTCAGTATATTTATATCTATCAATCTATCTCAGTATATTCATAGCTATCTATCTATCTATCTATCTAAGTCCATTCATATCTATGTCAGTCTCTTCATTATCTATCTATCTATCTCAGTCCGTTCATATCTATGTCAGTCTCTTCATTATCTATCTATCTATCTATCTCAGTCCGTTCATATCTATCTATGTCAGTCTCTTCATTATCTATCTATCTCAACCAGTTTATATTTATCTATCTCAGTCTGTACATATCTAATTATCTGTCTTTGTGTCTGTCTGTCTCAGCATGTTCATATCTATCTATCTATTTATAAAAATATTATGACAAATTGGAAAAATATCGTGACGAGCTTCATCCATCAGGATTTCATCAAACTGGGCTTTGCTGAGGGCGGTAATATATTGTAAGACCCTGGACGCAAATTTACCGTAGCTAAGCTAGTGATCAAAGAACTTTCTAAACATTTTCGTCTTAGGGGATTAGTTTCTCGTTTAATCAAAGTAGCATTCCCTATTTCAAGATTGTGGTCAGTTTCGTTACGGTGAAGAAACCAATGTGTTTTGTGTTTTTCTTTTAAAATGTTGCGTTTGTGTTCAAATAGTCTTTTCTTTAAACTTCTTGAGGTATCTCCAATGTTTTGCCTTTTATGGATTGAGTCTTTGATTGTTTTAGATATAGTTGTGACAAATTTTATGTTGAGTTTAGATAAGTTCTTTTCGGTCGTAGTTGTGATAGAGTTAATAGGTTAATAACATTTTTTTTATTCAATGTGTTTGTCAGGAAGGGCAAAGGGCAGCATTTCTATTTTAGAATAGTTTATGAGTCTTTTGTTTCGCATATGAAATGCTTAGGATATTAAAGTATTTTAAATATATTTTTCCTCTTCGTGTAAATACTGAGGGCTGCAAATTGTGAGTGCTCTTAAATACAATCCAATTTTATAATTACTGTTTGTTGCTATATAAAATTATACAAAATTATGTCTCGTTATATCATACTATCTATCTATCTATCTATCTATATATATATATATATATATATATATACACATATATATATATATTTCATCTATCTTGAGGAATAAATTATGTATCGTTATATCATACTATCTGTCTATCTATATATATATACACACACACATACACGCACACACACACACACACACATATATATATATATATATATATATGTGTGTGTGTGTGTGTGTGTGTATGTTCATCTATCTCGGGGAATAATCGACACTAATTCGAAATTTTTCGAGAGAGAACAAGAGAAGATGTATTGACGTTTTATCCAGTATGCCTACGTATATATTTGTCGGGTTTGCTACGTTAAATTGGACTATTCAGCACAGTAATTTAGGCGTCAGACTGTTTTGACGTCAATGTCTTTTGGAGACAACCCCCCACCCCCGCAAAAAAAAATGGATAAAAGCATTGAAACACCCAACTTTCAATATGACTTTTTATCCATTTAGGGAATTAAGGATTCTTTTAAAAGACTAATGGAATAATGTAAATTAAAAACGTAAATAAAAATATTGTATTTCACAAAAAACAAAAAAAAAAGCTCTTTAATCTTAGAAATCACTTCTTCATTTCGTAATTATGTGCAACGCTCTTCAGGAACTGAATTGGATATAATGATTCAATTTCCATTATGACTTTTTTGATTTGTTCGTCAGCATCTCTTTATTTATTTTTTTTTCACCTTTTTTTTTTTTGTATGGTGTTGGGGTTGATATCCAGCGATCAACTTTTTGAGAAAAGCATCATGTCCTTTCTGAACTTTCCGTAAGGTACCATGTGTATCACTTTGTTTCGTCCACGTTTTGATGAAATGTCTGCTTCCATTTTGGAATAAAAGGATTTTGACGACTGAAAAATATGAAGCTGCACTGAAGGAAATATATAAAAATGCCTCCAACTACTCTTTTTCTTAAATATAAAAATACCTCCAACTTCTCTTTTTCTTAAATATAAAAATGTCTCCAACTACTCCTATTCTTAAATATAAAAATACCTCCAACTGCTCTTTTTCTTAAATTTAAAAATGCCTCCAACTACTCCTGTTCTTAAATATAAAAATACCTCCAACTGCTCTTTTTCTTAAATTTAAAAATGCCTCCAACTACTCCTATTCTTAAATATAAAAATACCTCCAACTTCCCTTTTTCTTAAATTTAAAAATGCCTCCAACTACTCCTATTCTTAAATATAAAAATACCTCCAACTCCTATTTTTTCCTGAATTGGACTATTCGAGCATATAACAACGAAGTACTAATTAGTAGTCAAATTAGTTAGTACTACGAAACAAGAGAGAGAGAGAGGTGGGGAGAGAATTTGACTATAGCGACAAAGTAGTAATTTGATACCTAATCGTCCCTCTCCCGAAAAATTTCAATGTGGAATCGGCTACACCGAATCACCGACGCCAAATGGCGTCCCATTCCCGTATATCTGTCTATCTATCTGTCTATTTCAGCCAGTTACTAATTATCTTTATCTTAGTGATTCATTAAGTGCAGCTTAGCTGTGACACAAGGCCTCCCATACTGAGAATCGTACTCACTATTTAGTCGTAATTGATCTAGCGAAACAAGCTTGCTGACTATTACACCACGCCGAACTGCCTGATTACGATGATATATTTTATATAGACAAGTATGTAGAGTTATTTGATTTGCGGCCTCGACTCGACAGAAAAGAGAGTTGAGGCAGTGATATTAATTCGATAGTATATAAATAGTCCTTCTATGTCGAAATGTATAGAAAGAAGTGAGTTCCTTCTCTTTTATGTCCGTCTCTAACGATCTCTTTGTCTGTGTGTTCGTCAAGAGCTTAACAGCGGCGTGGAATTAAACGAGAAACGGAACGTAAACTAATCAAAGTGTTTTTGCCATCTAGTTTTATTAAGACTCCAGCCGTTTCCATCATTGAGGAGGTCACCGAACCCTTACCGACAGGAATCATCCACCCAACCACTCAGCCTAGACCAAATTGAAATGTTCGCCATCCCCTAGCAATAGAATAACGTCATTTTCGCAGAATGGGATAAATACGGCTACGTTTTTTTCAAAGCAATCCTGACAGGGATATTTTCGAGAACGCATAGACCTGTCATCAATTCGTCTCTTTGCAGGTTTGTAAGCATGGTAACCTCTCTAAGTTTTACTACTTGCTGATCTGGTTGTCCTAGATTCAAATCGTCCCGGGACCTTGTCGGAGTTAGCTCCTCCTTAGCTCCTTAACCCTTCAACAGGGGTCTCTCTCCCCTGGCTATCAATACTAGCTGACCCTTAACCTTGACCTCTTTTTTACTCAGGCGTTCAGCCTTATACAACCTCGAAGATGTGAGCGCTCACAGATACAGCGTTTCCCAAATGCTGGGAGCACGCTAAGAAAATACGCGTACGTACGGACACTCACCACAACACAACACACACACTAACACACACACATAATATTAACCACACGCACTATGTCCATGTAACTTGTAACCTTTGTTATTAATACAGTGTAACCCGGATATAAGAGACTTGTCGGGACCGAAGAAGAAGTCTCTTATATCCGGGTTTCTCTTATATCCGGTTTTGGTCTAATTTATATACATTAACACGGGCTCTAATTTGGGACCAGAGAAAATCTCTCTTATATCCGAGTTTCTCTTATATCCGGGTCTCTTATATCCGGGTTACAATGTACATGTTTTTGTTTACATATATTTATCGGTCTTGTTTGTTTTTCTTTGCCTTCTTTGAACTTAATTAAAGTCCAACTTTCTCATGTAGTTAGACCGGCTAGCAGGAAATTTTAACTCACGTGTCTTTTTCTATATATACACATCACATATTCATCCCACGGTCTACTAGAACCTTATTCATCTCATGTTATAGTGTTTAAATGGGAAAAGGATATATAATCTTTTTATACATCAGGAACAATTTTAGGGGAAAGAATTTAAATAATAAAATTACTTTAAAATACAGATAAGAATGATAACTAATAAAAGTTAGATTATTAAAAAAAATAGTTGAATAGATATTGAAAACTCGCATCATGCACCATAACATGCATTTTGCCGCAAATTGAAAGAAAAATCAAATTTCCTCTCTCCTCATTTTCGACGACCAAACGAAGTCGATGTCCGGGTACAGCGCTCTGAAAAGACATGTGGCTCCCACCAGGTAAGCACAAACTTGTTTTTTTTTATCTCTGTATATGTATATGCTCTTTAAAATATATACTATTTCTCTGAAATGTATACGAAATCCTTTTATCATTTTTGTTTATGCTTATTATGTTGTATCTTGCATATGGTCCGTTTGTAATCTATATATTTCCGTTGCGGAGCTGATGATGTCTATTTGATCTACAAACAAAATTATATATATATATATATGCGTCCTCCGACAGGACTCGAACCTGTATCCTATACGGAACCGTCATATAGCCTGACGTGCCTTAACCGATTGGGCCACAGAGGAGCGTTCGGTTAGCAAGGTGGATTTTACTGCTTTTAAACACAATTCTCCATGATTTTCTCTCATACATTCATATCTTCTCAATGCTTATCCAAATGTAAACAAATGACATCACACATTATGAAATGGTTAAAGTCCAACAATTACTATTATATATATATATATATATATATATATATAAGTACATTCAGGTATCCCCAGAACAACCTCATAATAACCGAAACATGTATTAAATTAAAAAAAAAACTTTTTTCTACTTTGTCATATTTCTCTATTTTTTTTTTAATCCGCATGTTTTTACTTCGTTCTTGCTCTGAGTCTATCAAGGGCCACTGACTTATCTTACCAAAGCTTTTCTGTCTTCTACACTCAACCTGACTCTGCCTAAAATCAGAATCCAACCCTCAATAAATATCGATAACCTGAATATAAATCGGGGAATTCAAATACGAATTTGAGATTTCAAAATGTTATTATTCTTCTTTATGCACAGCTTCCACTTCGGTATTTTAATATTTCTGGTCCGTCGATATTTCTGTGTATTTTCAAGTGTTCTCTATCTCTAAATATCTGGGAAGTGTTCTAACAGAGAACAGAAAGTGCGACACTGAGATCCGAAAACACATTGGTATGGCCAACAATGCATTCAAAAAGCTAAGCAAAGTATTAAGAGCCAGAAAAGCTTCGTTACAAAGAAAGAAATGCATACTGAAATTTTACATGATGTCTGTCTTCCTATATGGCAGCGAATGCTGGAAAATCTCCCCAGA